TTTTTTTTTTTTTCATTTTTCTTTTTTTGCTCTCGTTACCAGAATCGCTCTAACTTGTTGTCGCGTCGACAGGGGGCGCCAGAGCCTCGAACACGCTTGAAAAAAGTGATCTTGCATATCGATCGATGGAACAGCCACGATGCCAGTGCTTGATTTTAGTAAACACGCGAGATCCTTGTCGATTTTGTTTTAATCGTATCTTCTTTCATCTGTATGTGTGTGTGTGTGTGTGTGTGTATATGTTTGTGTATTTTTCAAGCGTGGACGGTGCTGTAAATCCTTATTCGCTTCCCGGTCGAGAATTTCAGATCTTTTCGATTCAAGGTGCGCTTAAAGTCGTCAACGGTTTTCTTTTTTTTTTTATCAATTTTTCGACGAATCGAACTCGTTCGAGGGAGATTTTGACAAATTTAATTTAATTCGAGAGATCCACGAACGAACTGACCAGAGAAAGAAGGATGGGAAAAGGAAAAGATGACGCCTTGAATCAGTTCGCTCTCGACTCTCGAAGGGACAACGCAGTTCTGCCTCGTTCCAATGTTCATCTCCGCCTTATGTTATCTTTCGTTCGAATGCCTCGTTCGAAAGTGAAATCGAACCTTTGAGAAAAATTCTTTTCTTTTTTTCTTTTTAGGTTCGATTCACTTCAAATGATTCACTCTCTCGCTTATTGTCCAACTTACATCGATTAATCGAGCAGAATTTTCCGAAACGAAAACGAAAAACTTGGTTAATTCGATCGAAATACACGAATTCCTTCTGTTCCGAATGATGCTAATTTTTCTTATTCTTCTTCTCTTTTCTTTTTTTAAAAACGAGAAAGATTGGAAATCAAATGTTACGAGCGACAAGAATCAGCAACCGTGCAGGCGAAAAAGGCGGTAAATTTAAACGCGTTTTTTTTTTTTGTTTTTTTGATTTTTCTTGTCACGAACAAAGGATTCAAGATTCGCTCTTTTTGCAAATGTTCGTCTTCCTTTTTATCCTTGAAATCCCTCTTTTCGAGTTTCCCCGTCGAACCCAAGGAAAAAAAAAAAGAAAAAAAAACTGCTCGTGATCGGACTCGGATTAGCTCGATGACACCTCCGCGTAATCAGGCTACAACCGTCATACATATTTATATATGTATTATACAGGGCGAATCGCGTGACTGATAAATAGCGAGTCAGTGAATCGATCTTGTGAGCGATTACTAAAAAAAAAAGAGAGAAAATTTTAGATTTATTATGTAAGAAAAAAAAGACTCGAGACTTTTTCTCTAATCTGCCAAATGAACTTGAAACGAATACAAACTTTGACAAACTACCACAACGTTCCGTTATAGTTTCAATTCAAAGCATAACAAAGAGTTAGAGGGAATTGAAATTTAAATCTTGATAAAAGATAAGATTTTAATAAAAAAAAAAAGGTTTTTCGAAATTGAGAAGAATTCGGTTGGAATTATTATCGAGCGCGAAATTAGTTTCGCAGTTCGCCCTTGCGCATATACAATAATATTTTATGTGTACATATATAAATATATCGATCGAGAAAGGAGGAAAGAGAAAGAGCAGAGTGAAGAACGGCCGGAAAAAAACAAAGGAGAGAAGGACCGAAGTGAACTGAAGTGCCAGCGTTTATCGCTCGACCTTCCTCTTCCTCCTCCTGCTCCTCCTCCTCTCTTTCGCGCTTTCTCCTCTCTCCATGCACACGCATACATGTATACACTATGGATACACACGGGTCACATACGCATACAGCGTTCATACGCACACATGTACATATAGACATACACGCGTTTCTCTTCTAATATTTATTAATTCTTTTCTTCTTCTTTTTCTTCTTTTTCTTCTTCTTCCTCTTCTTCTTCTTCTCCAATCTTTATATCCCTCTTATCGATTATCGTTCTTCTTAATTCTTCTCTCTTGGATCAGCGGTTAGATGGGCGTCCACGTTCTTAGCAATTACAATTGTCGTCTGTTGGATTCGTCGGCTGGTCGGTGAGCCGTTGACCCTTCGCCTGGCCCATTCCGCCCGCGATTAGGGTCGGATCGTTGTCCAAGGATTCGCTCATCTTGTCGCATATAATGTCCACCAACTGCTCGAACACCGTCTGCGGATCAGAAGTGGTTAGATCGAACGTTTCGTAGCTTTAGCTTTTAAAATTGATGGAAATTCGCTTCGCAACGAAATTCAATCGATCGAAAAATTTAACAGTTTATGGCACGTTGTACAATCAAACGCGTAATTCAGTTCAGTTTCTCAAGTTTTAAAATAAAATTTAATTGAGGTGTACTTATATATATCGGTTCTCAGTTTTCATTAGCCGTACTTGTAACACCGATTCTGAATTAGTCGTTCTCACTGTCTTTTGCGTCTGTTTCGTTTAGAGATTTTCTAAAATCAATCTTAAGTATTCTGGTCGAAATATAAGTCTCTAATCGGCTGTCTAACTTCAATTCAGTTCTGTATTGTCGGTGGAAATTCGTCGAAACAACATCTTCCTATGTTTTAGATTTAAAATTAAATAAAGATACAGAGTGGTTCGCTAACAGATCACACTTGTCCCTCTTTTCTGTTTCTATCGTTTTTAAATTAAATTAAATTTTTCTATGATTCCAATAAAACATTTTATATTTATACTTCAGCTCTTATCCCATTAAATTTCTTTTCTGTCCTACATTTTATTATTACACATATACTTACATTAATAAATACAATATAATTCTAGGGGACTCCTGTTACTTGATTGCTAACCTTCTTAAATATAGATAAACGAGTGTAAAAATCTTATTTTTCTTGAACAAGAAGACATCATCCATCATCCATTTGATCAACGTGTTAATTCCCTGGCGATGTTTTTTTTTCTCATTAATCTAAGTGTATTTGAGTTGCCTGGATGTGTAACATCCTGTTACCTCAGCTAATCCCTTTATTTTCATTCCGTTTAAAATTGCGTCTAATGTAAAAAAAAAAGCACGAGCTACGTCACGACGAGGCAGGTCTCAAGGTAGTCGCAATCGTGGGCGGGAAAATCGATTTGGACGAACGTCGATACGTCGGTGTGAAATAGATTCGACCCGTGCTGCTGGTGATGATTAATGGGATCGTAGCGGTAATCGAGGATATCTGGTGTCTGGTGAAGATAAAGATGGCGCTGTGTGTACACACACCTTGCGGATAGAAATAAACGTGAGTAGGAACGTGACGCCGATTAACGTTTTTTTTTTTTTTTTTCTAACCTGCGATCGGTTTAAGTTAGGATAATGGGCTGGTAAACAGGCGGGGAATGAAAAATGAAAATGGTTTCCATGTTATATACACGCGTTCTTCATAAAGTGGTAGCTTGGAAAAACTGCTGACTATCCTTGTAATTCTGTCCAAGTTGGATCGAATATTATCGTTTTCGTTCAAACCTGTTCGAATAAAAATTTTCACGCAAGGTGAAGGAAATGTATGGATGATTCGAATTGATTTCTACCTGGTCTCGTAACAACTCTGTCCAAATTTCGAATCTTTGGATCGAACGAATAAATTATCTCGTTCAAACCTGTTCGAATCTCTTCTTGAGGGATGGGAAATTCGAGGAGAGTCGATTTTAAAAACTTTCACGCAAGGTGAAGGAAATGTATGGATGATTCGAATGGATTTCTACCTGGTCTCGCAGGGACTCTGTCCTCCAAATTTCGAATCTTTGGATCTCTTCTTGGGGGAGTGGAAAATTCGAGGACGAGAGTCGATTTTAAAAACTTTCAACTTTTCAAGGTGAAGAGGGAGAAAACTTTTTTTTCTTTCAGAAATGTCGATCCATTTTGTTACCTTGATGTTGATATTCTCTTTGGCCGACGTCTCGAAGAACTGGACGCCCAGCTGGTCCGCCAATTGCTTGCCCCTCTCGGTGGTGATCACCCTTTCGTCCTCCATGTCGCACTTGTTGCCGACCAAGATCACTTGGGCATTGTCGCACGAGTACGTTTTGATCTGCGTTACCCAATCTTGCACCGAATTGAACGACTCCTCGTTCGTGATATCGTACATTAGGATGAAGCCCATCGCGCCTCTGTAATAGGCCGTCGTTATCGTTCTGTATCTTTCCTGGCCTGCAGTGTCCTGAAACACGATCGACAACGTTAACGAGATCGATAATTGACCGATAAGCGTTCGAAATGAATCGACACGATCGAACTCTTCTCTTCTTTCTCTTGTAAATTATTTTGTACAGGAAACGTAATTTGAAACAATTTGAAACGAGTAAATCGTAAACAAGGAGGCGACAATGCACGCTTGTTCAGTTGAATAATAAATGATTCGTGAAATATATATTTATTTCGAGCAAATTTTTCTTTTTATCGCAAATGTTTCGAGAAACGTGCAATTACGAATTTTTTATTATTACTCCTCCGATATTTTGAAAGTTAAATCGAAAGGGAAGAGAAGAAAGGAAGGAAGAATAATTCAATCTTTGGAAATATCCGCGATTTCTTTCGAAAGAAGCGAGGCGACAAATTGGGAGAATGTATACTGACCCAGATCTGTAGCTTGACCCTTTTGTCGTGTCTGAAAACCGTTTTCACCTTAAAATCGATGCCCACGGTCGATACGAAGGCCGAGGTGAAGGAATCGTCCGCGTAGCGGAACAGGAAGGACGTTTTACCAACGGACGAGTTCCCGATGATCAGCAGCTTGAACATGTAATCGAAGTTTTGGTCCGCGGCCTCCTTCTGAAATTTTGGATCCTGGCCCGCCATCTGGCGAACAAATTTCCATTTAAACACGCGTACGCATTAGATCTATCCTAGATTAGATTGTATATTGATATGGATTTGGAATTTATCAAGACTTTTATTAACTAATTATTAGATACTTATATAGATCTTTTTTTTAACATTTGAGTTAGGTGTGTGATGTTATCAATGTGATCGATCTGTATATAAATTTATATTGATAGTTTGATCTCCGAGCTAGTATTCACTCATCATTACAAAAATACATTTCAATTGCTATTCAATTATTATTGGTACTTTTAATTAATTTATATTTGTGTATAGATTTGTTTAACATTTAAACTATGCTACTAATATATGTTACTGTTTCTCTTGTTGTTGTTCAATTATTATTGCTGTGGATTTGGGATTTATTAATACCTTTAACCAGTGTGGTACCGTGATCTATATTTGTATAAGATTTTTTTTAACATTTAAGTTTCAGATATACGTCACCAATGTGATTATTTTTACATAATTAATACTTTGATCTCTGAGCTAGTATTCACTCATCACTACGAAAATACATTTCTCTTGCTATTCAATTATTATTAATACTTTTAACTAATGCGTTATATTTGTGTATAGATTTAACATTTAAGTCAGATGTGATTCATCACTACAAAAATACACATTTATGAAATTCACATTTCTCTAATCAATTATTTTGGAGGATCTTGATCCTCACTGTTCATCACCATGATTTCAACTTGACATAATAAATTTGTTGTAATTGTGCACGATAATGTAATTATTTAATTAATCGTATAATAAAGTATTCAAAATTCACGATGAATTTGGAAAAACTGAACTAAATACACATGTATCTCTACACATGCTTTGTATATTGTACCGTTGTCGACAGTTCACCAATTCTTTCGCTTCTAGCCTAGCGTTGCAATTGGCCGAACTTGTTGTTCATCGCGAGGAGAGGGGGGGAAAAAAGAAGAAAAAAAAAAAAGAAAAAAAACGAATCGCCAACCGAGCGTCTGTTGTGCGGGGTGATATCAACGATGGACATCATTCGTGCCATTCTCGTCCTCAGTTCAAGCACGGAATCCTTCACGGCTGGCCTGGTATCCTTTATCGAGTTCTCCGCCCGACTTTCGAATTCCTTCGACATTCCAAGCGGACGAAAAATTTTCTTCCAAAAATTCGAACGAGGAATTTGTTCAACGAATAACAAATTGCGACAGAAGATAATAAACGGCACGGAGGAAAATGGAATTTTTTTTTTTGAGGAAGTGAAAGAAATATACACTCGTGTCGAGCCAATTGTGCGACTCTTGTGCGACTCTTGTGCGTTTCTTTCCGGGTTTACTCGTTCCTCGTAATCTCGTTCCTTTCGACGGTATCGCGGTTTCTCTATAAACACGCCCACACAGGGCTGGACGAAGAATGGCGCCAATGGGTGCCATTCAACTTTTGTTTTTCAAACGTTTTTCGACAAATTTCGACTATTATTCGTGTTTTTATTTAACGTTTCCGATATATACAGTGACCAATTAATATAACAATGATTTAGAACGAAATTTTCAAATTTTCAAATATTTTTCCGCTACTCCGTTCAATCGATAAATTTGGATGCAATTCATTTATTCCAACGTTGTACCAAATAATCTAAAGAAAAAAAAATTGGAGAATTTAATTCCCCCGTAATATTCGTCTCCATCCATATTCCTGTCATCCCATATTGCCATTATTGAGTGCAATTTCCCAGAGCATTTCGTGATAAACCACACGATCGATAATCCCGCAATGGGAACGATCAAATCCGATAACCTCGAATCACAGGTGGACGTGAAAAAAAAAAAGCACGTGGTTCGATAGAATCCACGATTCATCGATTCGTTTCGTTCATACGAAATATTGCGACGATTCATCTGCATCCAGTTACCATCGGTAGATAAAGATTTTTAGAAAATTTATTTTTCGATTTCATCAAACGAATTTTTCTTCGAATCGTGAAGTTCAACGATTTGTTGCTACCGCGAAATAATTCATTCGTTGTAATCGAAGATTATGCATCCTTTGTTTTACTAGGCCAACGTGGAGTGGATAGTTCGTGTTTCCGGACGCCAGGTGTTGCTATAGACGTGTACCGGTTACGTGTACTAATGAGACAGACGGTTGATGGTTTGGGGAAATGTAGAGTCGGTGAAGGAAATAAAGGAGATAAGAATACTATGTCTGGCATTGAAACAGTACGTCTATGTGACAAGACTAGAAATTGCATTATATAATTTGCAACGTGGTTAGAAACGTGGTTCTTAATTTATTATTTATGTAAAAAATAAATAATAATATATATATATATATATAAAATAACATGTAGACAAAGCAATATTTTTATACATTTTGGATATCACAATGAATCTGAAATTGCATTATTTATACAAAAGGTAGTAAAATTTTTACATATTTTAATCCCCTCTGTTATTATTACGAAAAAAATGAAATTACAAGAAGAGTTTTTCCTTATTCATGTGCTGCATATTGCTTCCGATTTAAAATTGCATAATATCCACATAATGAAAGTTGAATTGTAACCATAAATATGCCAATCACTGGGACGGAAAGATAAATCTAAAAGGACCTTAAAAACGTTAAAAATACGACACCAACCACATCAGACTCGTCGATACCTAGTAAACAATGAGCGAATCGATGATCGTGTTTATCGCGAAGCGAGAACAAGAAGCGAGAATATACGAAATTAGCGTACATCGACGATTAACAGTTTTTCGACGAACGAACGGTTTTCCCCGACAAAACAATGTCGAAAACATTGGCAGATCGATCAAGCGTAACACTGGAAGAGCGATCTGTGCAGTTATGGCCGAAAGTAAATTTCAGAAATGGAGGGTCTATAAATAAACTGTGGACGTCGAGGTACCGACACATAGCGAGGCTTTCACGCTTGGTGGGAGGGATCTTATCGATTTTCTTCGCGCTCGAGCCACAGAGGAGAACTACAGAGATCTCCCTACGATTTCAAGTTCCATCGTTTCTGCCTCGCTCGTTTCTAGGATGCTCGTCCAACTAAAACGTTCCTATCCCTCCGATAAAAGAACAACCAGACGACCCCCAGACTCTCGATAATAATAACGATTCTCGAAGGAAATTGTTCGCTAATTATCCTTCCTTCTCTCTCTCTCTCTC